AAAAAAAAAAAAAAAAGCAGAAGTAGATCACAAACATGGATGTGACCTAAAGAAGAGGGTGGAGAAAGCCTGAAACAAACTTTCTGCACCTCTGTCCCCTAACCACCATCCACCACATACTACACACATGCACATGCACGCGCACACACACACACACACACACACCCCAGCTCGAGTATAACCGACCTCCATTCTAATGAATGCTGTGAATCTTAACCCTTCCACATCTCCGGTGTCACCACATACAACCGAAGCAGGTCGGAGCACTGGGGATTATACAAGCAATCCTGGGAAGACTTTTAAAACAACAGAAGTACCAGGAAGCCAGACAAACAGTCCGGGACGATGGCCTGTGGAGCAGCTGACCCTGATGACCTAGATTTACACTAAGGCAGCAGACTCACTGCTAAAACTACCACTGTAAAGTCATCATTATTTTTCTTATACCAACTACCTTTATAGGAGTCCTGGGGATTGTGAGTTCATTGAAAAGGGGGCAGACAGAAAAAGAGCTTCATATTTTGCAGCCCCCCAAACTGCATATACATCCTCCAATATGATAAAGGTTTTCCTGCATATTGATATTGAGATGAGAAAGACTAAGTCAAAATATTAAAGAAAAACAAACAAAAAAATTCCACCAGGGCAATAGAAAATGTAATCGAACCTCAATAGCTCCCTCTGCTGTCATTTTGGGTTACTTCCTAAAATATTTTTGTTTAATCTTTAATTTTGTAATTATTCTATTTGGAACCACATTAAGCTGGGGGGCATAAAAGCCAGTTGACAAAATCCTTACCACTTTACCTTCAATTGAAAGCATCCCTTCTGGGTCATGAATAATGACCATTTTATGATCAAACCTTTCCTTCGTGGTAGAGGTGTTAGTGTCATTTAAAGAAGTGACTACATTTCAGAAGTGAAAGGTGATATACGTGCTTCAATAACAAGGAAACACGAATCTCTAAAAGTAAGACTAATTTTTAAAAATAAAAATTTTTAAAGTTTCACTGGTGTCGGCAATTTTGGGTCGCGTGGAAGCTTAAAAGACGGCTTTGAAGACGATTTACAGTTGGACGCAAAGAAGAAACAATGGCCAAATTTTAGGCAAAGTTCTTCCACGTGGGGATAGCCAGGATGGCTGGAGAGAGAGGAAGGAATGAGGAGGAAAAGCTGTCACATTGAGGGCTTCAAGAGGCCACGCAGTGTGCATTTCATTCTCTAACAAATCTGGGTGAGGATATTTCTCATGTTACAAGGAAGACAACAGACAGGTGCATTTAGTTGTTTGGTCCGTCAACAACCAAGTGAAAGGTTGGGGCCCAGATTTAGAAGTGTTTGAAGTGGAAACTAGGAATTCTGGGCTTGAAGTCCTGCTTCTCTCACTCACTGGGATCTTAGAAAAGTCAGAGCCTCCCAGCCTGTTCCTTTATCTATAAATGGTGATGGAATAATCTCCCAGGTCCCCCTCCAGCAGTCAAAATGATCTCCAAGTAAGTCACACTCGATCTCCAGTGCATTATTTGACCCAGAGAAAAATCTGATTTAATGAGAATTGAAAGCAATTCTAGGAAAAAGCAAGGAAGGAAAGAAGGGAGGGAGGCAGACTTCAAAGGAGCATAAAGAGAATACTAACAGTAAGTCAGGGAGTGGCACCTGGGTGGCTCAGTCGGTTAAGCAACTGACTCATGGTTCATGAGTTCAAGCCCCTCGTTGGGCTCTGTGCTGACAGCATGGGGCCTGCTTGGGATTCTCTCTCTCTCTCTCTCTCTCTAAAATAAATAAATAAACTTAAAAAAAAATAAAGGTAAATGAGGATGTTATGAGGCAGTCAACTTGCTCCTTGATAAGGAAAATTATGTCACGTGGCTTCTTTTCAAGCAATAATCAGCAGCAGCAACTTTTTCCTACTCTGTGCCTCACGTGTTCACAGGCTGACTTCCGGTTCCCGAGCAATGAAGACTGCCATTGCAGCATTGATGGCAATGGCTGCATTCATCACAATGTAAGAACCCGCTTGGAGGAGTCAATGACTCATTCAACCAGCAGCTATTGAGCACTTTACATGGCAGGCAGTGTGTAGGGCAGGAAGGAAGACAAAGTCCCTTAACTTCGTGAATGGCACACTTTACAGAACAAAGACCATACACAAGTAATTTTAGATAAGTTTCTTGAAGAACATAGAAGGCAAGAGAGCAAAGTGACAAGAGTAACTACTTCAGATATGGCGATCAGGGACATACTTTCTGAAAGTTATTTTAGAGAGAAGAAAGCAAATATCCAATACAGGTGGAGGACAGAAAAACTTGAAGGTAGGAATGAATCTTAAGTTTTATGGGAGGACAAGAAAGCCAGTGTGGCTGGAGCAGAGTGACAAGGCAGAAAGAAGGTGGGGACCCCAGCGAGAATCCAGGCTGGTTAACAACGGGAATGAAAACACAACTGAGGAAAGCGGAGAAGAGGAATCACTGATTACTTGGCAATTTCTCCTACTCTGGTTACCACTGGCTGTGCCTGGAGCGTATTGAGTACAATTAGTGGCACTGAACAAAGAGCAGAAGAAAAAGGCAGTGAGAGGATGCTGACTGGATGGGGGGGGAGTGGGTGCTAGGGCAGGGAAGGAAGGAAGACCAGGCATAAAGACAAGCATTTCCTTTCAGATACAAGTATCCTCATAAAAACTCCTTACAGATACATAGCAAAACTAATTTTGTGGCACAAATCAAAACTAATTTTTAGTGTTAAACCATTCGTGTTCTTACTGTTATAGGCAAGGAAGTTATCGGATAAGGTGAGGAAAAAGGAAGTTAAAGAGAAAAGTTCAATGGTGACGAAAAGCTATGAATCAATACATCCCTTGTGATGAATATGTTGAGATGTGTACTTGACTTTATGTTCATAGATCAAGAAGGAAAAAGACTGGTGAACGTCTGTAAGAAGGTAAGGGGGTCTGAGAGTGTGATGCTGGGAAGTTGCCAAGATACAACTCCTTGAGAAGTGATTTGTCAGACCTTGTTAAGAACACCTGTTTACACAGAGGAATATGAACACCCCAGACCATCAGCAAAGTGTGTTCCAGTAGAGCAGTTCCCCAAAGGAGTCATCAATGCCAAATGCATATTCATAATCATACTAAGACTTTTCCTCCTTCGTTCTTTCATAACAGCACAGTCCAGTTTTCCAGAGGATTACGTAGTGATACTGCAAAGATTGAACACAAAAAAGATGAAAACCCAGATGCTCTTAGATGAAACAGTAAGTTGCTTTAAAATGTTTAACTTCCAGTATGGTAAATATAGATAGAACCCACATGAACAAAAGCTCTTTGGGTTCCTCAATAATTTGTGTGTAACGGGGTACTGAGACTACTGAGTACCGCTGCCAAACCTTTAATACACTTGGTATTATTATTATAAATTATGAAGATTGTGTATTACAGATAGGACACTTACTGGTAATAGTTGTATTATTGATATATCAGGAGTGTCCATTAAGTACTGGGAAGTATAGTCAGGTATCAAAACCATTCAAAAACCCACTCTAAGGGAGTAAATAGTCTGTGTATCTATAGTGGGCCTGTGGAGTATTCCTGAATGGTGTAAAAAAAAAAAAAAAACCTACAATAATGGAACAACTGAGGTTTTCCTTGAAAATAGTGTAAGTTGGGGCACCTGGGTGGCTCAGGTCCTGATCTCTTGTCAGTTCAAGCCCCACATCGGGCTCTCTGCTGTCAGTGTGGAACCTGCTTTGGTGGGTGCTTTCTCTTTCAAAAATAAACATAAAAAAATGGCAATTTCTGCAAGAAAGAAGAAAGAAAAAGAAAGAAAGAAAGAAAGAAAGAAAGAAAGAAAGAAAGAAAGAAAGAAAGAAAGAAAGAATGAAAGAAAAGGGGAAAAGAGAAAAAGAAAGAAAAGAAAAGAAAAAAGAAAAGAAAAGAAAATAGAGTAAGTTCATTGTGAATGGAATTCATTGTGAATGGAATAGGGTTTCCTCACCAAGCTATAAACATCAACTAAAAAAGGAGAAGCTAGGTACCTATATGTGAACAAAACTTAGTATTAATGTGTCTTTTTAAAATTTGAACCTTCGTGAGAAAGCTGTTCAAAGGGTCTTCTGGAAAATCTTTTTAATATCTAGTTGAAGGGGCACCTGGATGGTTCAGTTAAGTGGCTGACTTCAGCTCAGGTCATGATCTCGCAGTTTCATGGGTTCGAGCCCCGCCTCGGGCTCTGTGCTGACAGCTCAGAGACTGAAGCCTGCTTCCGATTCTGTCTCCCTCTCTCTCTGCCCCTCCCCTGCTTGAGCTCTGCCTCTATTTCAAAAAATAAACTAAAAAAAAAAAAAAAATTTAAATCCACTTGAAAATAAATACAGATGCAAATGAGTTTATTTCTACTCTAGATGTGCTATTGGAAATCATTCCATTGGTTTTTCATTTGTTTTTAATGTGTTTCAAATATTGCCTGGAAAGCAGTAAAAGATAAACAAAAACAAAATCTGGAAAGCCTAGGTTACATAATTCCAAAATAACTATTTAATGGCTGACTTCCTCTTCCTTAGGCATTTTTGTTTTTGGCCTTATTAAAAGAGAGAAATGGGGGGAAAACCATCCATTTATACAAGCTCTTAGAAATTAAACATGTGCCTTTCCAAAGGAGAAAAGATTTACTTTTCAAAAGAGAAAAGATTTACTCAAGGCAATTCCCAAGACTCGACAAGGTTTCAGTGGCTGTAATTGTAGACACCAGTAATTGTTACTGGGTATATTTCTTCTCTCCCACATTTCATACGGGAAACATTCCTTACAGCTTAGATATTTGAAATACATACGTAAGTGCTAGCACATTATATTTTCTAAGTGGTATGAATACTTCTTTATTACATTTATTTGCAAAGATATCATAACAGCTTATCATTACACATGTACACATGCAACCACAAGCAGAAAATGGTTAACCTGTTGAATGTAGAGGGAAACAAGTTTTGGGACTTAAAAAAGAGTAATTTAGGTTAAAATCTTAAAAATGAACAGTGTTAAATAATGGAATGGATTCATAAGAAGTGATACAAACTTCAAACATTTTAATTTAAAACAGACGTATACTTTAATTCACAGATTATTTTATATACGTCCAAGACTTTCTGATTCAAGTTCCCTGATGTGTTTCTTCTATGAACCATGCCTTTACCTCTAACGCATCACCTAAGATTTCCCACTGGAGTGAGAACTGAAAATCCACTTGCAAACTTCCACATTTTTATGACTTTCCTGACAAGTTTTTACAGTTTTCTGATCTATACCTAATTAGACAACGGCACCTCTATCAGGTATTTCCAAACTGTCAATTTAGTTTTCATAGACACAACTCTTTCAGTCACATGCTGGTTTTTTTTTTTTAATCAGTTTACATATTTAAATTGCAGAATAAAAGAAACAGGTACAACTGGAACAGGGATGCAAGTATTATGCGTGGTCCAAGCACTGGGTGCCTTACAGAAGAATGCAAAAGTCAGTTTGTACAGCAAGCCCAAGCAGAAAGAATAAGCTTCGTATATTAGTTGGAGATAACAGTCTTAATATTAGCATGCAACAATGAGTTTTATTTGTAACCTTTTTACCTCAAGATATAATCTTTCTTAAAGAGTTAAAACTGCCATCTTATTTCACGGATGTCAAAATACCTCTTACTTCCAAACTGCACCATACCGTTGATGAAATACGGAAGTAACGCATCCACATTGGTGTTCGCGTTCTGACCTGTTCATGCATAATGAACAGCTTCATGCATAATGAAGCTACTACTTACTAATGATAAAGGCAATTTGTACCTTGGCCCCCACAAAATGGAGGCTGCCCCCAGTGGCCAGGCTGTCCCAAAACTAAGCCTACATCAGCCTGCACTTAACCTTAAACAACCTGCAAGGAAACCTAACACACACCAATCACAAGCCTCCAAGTCACCTTCTTAGCTAGCTCACCTTACCCGAGAAAACAGGAGCTGCTAACCAGTCATGACCCGTTTCTGCGTTGCCTGTTCTAGCACTCTATAAAAACTGGCACTTGCACAAAATCCTTCAAGAGTTGTAGAGAGTGGAGTGGAGACCCCTCGGGAGGCACTGTACTCACCAATCCACGGATTATGTTCCCTTCAAGAAAGGACATCAAACTCACTGCTAAATTTAGTAGTTTGTCGTTTGATACTAATATACTTAAATGGTATCAATATCAAGGACCATTTGTAACAAAGCAAAAAATTTCTTCTTAGGCTATAATTTTCATCTTTGGCTTCATTTTTCTTCTATTGTTTATAGCTGTTCTCATGTTATTGTTCTCATATTTGCTTTCCTTTTGGCCTCATCTGCCTTTGGTTCTGCCCCACGGCTGAGCACTAGCCAGATAAACTAACTCTATGTTGTTACATCTAACTTATTTAGAAAAAGCGTAACTGACAAGTCACTGAAAACTGGAAACCAAGAGTTGACTTAAGGAGTATAAATGATAATTTAAGCTTTTATTCAGGAAGTGACTGCTCTCAGGATCTCAATGATATAACAGTATGAACTGAAAAGTAATCAGCTTTCTACCACCTTTAAGCTGCTTGTAAGTAGTGAAGATTACCCCTGAGAAATCTTCAATGACGATCAGTAAATTCTAAATTCTCCCCAACAAATTAAGAGCATAGAACTGTTAACATTTGAAGCCTCGCCACAGGCCCAGGGATTGTGCTAAACACTTTTTGAATGTGACTTCATTTAATCCTCCTGAAATAGGATCTATATTTTATTTTTAATTTTTTAATTGATGAGGAAAATCTAGGCTTGGATCTAATTTAGTGGACCCAGGATTCAAGGACAGGTCTGTAGGCCTCCAAAGTCCATGCTCTTGGCCAGAATATGATGCAGCAGCCTCAGAAGTATCTCAAGGGCACCTGGGTGGCTCAGTTGGTTAAGCAACCGACTTTGGCTCAAGTCATGATCTCACAGTTCATGGGTTTGAGACCCATGCTGGGTTCTGTGCTGACAGCTCAGAGCCTGGCACCTGCTTCGGATTCTGTCTCTCCCTCTTTCTCTGCCCCTCCCCGGCTTGTGCTCTTTCCCAGAAATAAATAAACGTTTAAAACAACAACAACAAAGTATCTCAAAAGAATTCCATCAAAAAACAGATGCCAAGCTATTTAAATCACCCTTCCTTTTTAAAGGAAAGAACCACTGTAACCGTAACTGTTTAGCTCCCAACTCAGGGCTTTCAGCCCAGCCAAATCTGAATGACCATCCATTCTTACCTATACATGTAAGACCAAGATATTTTGCCATCATCTAAATCTCCTTTATTAATACATCTTCAATCCCCTTGTTAAAAATCATCTTACATACACATTTAGAACTTAGAGCAGGTAGGAGTCTCCATTAGATTCCTCCAATATGCAACTGTTCTGTTGAAAAAAGCGGAAGGGGAAAAGTGGGAAAAGAGTTCTAAAAAGATACAAGCAAAAAAGAAAATGCATTGACACAGCCTGCTGGGATGAGGCTAAACAGTAATAAACACATTCTCATGTTTCTCTTCAAAAATACATGGAGAAGAGGGAGCACAACTACCCACTCAAAGGTGGACTGTGATTCTTTCCAAGGAGTACAGAAAGGAGGAAAAAGAGTGACTTTGCAATGGATAAACCCAACACTACCTTGGCCAGGTGACCAAGGTCAACATCAACAAGCCTATGTTGGGGCTATGCCTCTTTGATATAATGTGATGGAAATGGCAATTTCCCTATGGGGTTTTCCTCCCCAAAACCCATAACCTCGATCTAACCCTAAGATCACAAAATAAATTCCAGAGGGGCACTCTACAAAATCTGACCTGTACTCAATAGTGTCAAGATCATCAAAAACAAGTCTGAGAAACTACCACAGCCAAGAAGAAGCTAAGGAGACATAGCAACTAAAAGTAATGCGCTATCCTCGATGGCATCCTGGACTAAAAAATGGACATTTGATAAAACTTTAAAAATTTGAAAAAAAGTATGATGATAATGTATCAATGCTGGTCTATGAATTGTAACAAATGTACCACACTAATGTAAGATGTTAATAGGGAAAGCTGGCTGCAAGGTGTATGGGAACTCTGTACTGTCTTCCCAATTTTTCTGTAAAACTATTTTAAAAATATAAAGCATATTTTTATTTAAAAAACACCCATAAGGATAATATACAATGACAGGATAATGAAGAGGGAAAAAAAAAAAAAAAAAAAAAAAAAAAAAAAAAAAAAAAAAAAAAAAAAAAAAAGACTTGGATTTCTTTGGAACACATAGTCTCTTGTCTCTTTTTATCAATACTATGGAAAAGATGAGGATTTTGTACCAAAGAACTTCAAAAATCATTGAAGGAAAGTAGTCATACACACAATGTATAAAATGTAATTGAGGTGTTCATTATTTATATTCTGTAAATAAAATTATTTTTTTAAAAATTATATCGGTTTCCAAACTTAGTTTCTAAAGACCAAACATTCACCATTGCTAGAATAGGTCATAGTCTACAAAGCTATTTACATCATAAATCACACAAAACTTCAGAACTGCCAAGAACCTTAGATGTATTCTATACCAATGTCCTGGTAAGTGCACTGAAAGAAAGAAATGATTCGCTCAGGGTCAATCTACCAGTTAGAAATAACTTAAAGTCTGGTCTTTCTTTCAACTTCCAATTCTAAGACATTCCCTTACAGGATTAATTCCATTCTGATTACAGAGGTGTCAGATATATCCAATGTTTTAAAATGACATTCAACCATCTACATCCCTACGTGTGTTCTATGTAAGGGCGTGGGGAGGAGTATTTGGATAGGCAAGTGGGGTGGCAGGAAGGGATGGGGAACTCATCAGTGTTATGAACTCCACACGTACATCTTCCTTGCATGTTGTTTTACAAAAAGTTTGTTTATATTTAGTCCCAAACGGTAACTCAAATTATAGAGTAGACAGATTCTGAACTTAGTGCAGTATACATACATGAACTGTATTTAAACTGCCACTACCACACGTAGGTGATATTAGTTCTACTTCTCACTACTGCACCAAGAGGAATGAGAAAAGAATGCACCTCAAGATTATGCTATCACCAAGTACTGTAATTAGAAAGCTAGTGACTTTGAGTTGGCCAGTTAACTTCTGACTGCAAGAATATTTTGGTTCCAGGGTGCCTGGGTGGCTCAGCTGGGTAAGAGTCTGACTCTTGGTTTCTGCTCAGGCCATGACCTCACAGTTTGTGAGTTCAAGCCCCACATTGGGATTTGCGCTGACAGTGTGGAGCCTGCTTGGTATTCTCCCGCTCTCCCTCTCTCTCTACCCTTCACTGCTCACGCTCTCTGTCTCAAAATAAATAAACTTAAAAAAAAAAACCAAACAAGATATTTTAGTTTCTAAAGTAGACTTACAAAATCTAGTATCACTAACCAAGATAAGGCCAGGCTGGTAAGAATTGGGGTAGCCTCAAATAGAAATATGCTGATGAAATGCAAACACTCCCTTTAGGAAATGACTGGTAAAAAGGAGGTTCCAAATGATGCCACAGTGTGGGACACCTGGGGATTCTGTAAAATTGTGCCCTCTTCACAGGCCAACAGCGCATCTGGAAAGTTTTAACAGCACAAAACTAAACTCTTTGGTTTCCCCCATCAGGACAAGTACCTTAGATAAAGAGCCCAGCCAATAATCAATGCACCATCCACATTCATCACAGATCGTTATCTGCACAAGCTCTATCTATCCCAAAGGATAACACACAGACTGTTGGAAAAGCATTCCTTGGTACCAAGGATGGGGGGTTAGGGTTATTAGACAGCTGGTACCACTACTTGCTCCCATTACATGAAAACAAATAGGCCTCTTTCTCTTTTGCTCTAAGTTTAGTACTAAGAGCATGTAATTCAATAAGCTCACTGGAGCAGATAAAGATTAGGATAAACGGTTATCCTCTCTCTAATTCCCCCACTTAATTTAAATGGCCAACTAAAACGAGTGATACAATCTATTTGTACTTGAGAGACGTGTCAATCAGGAAACCCACAATAGGACGGACAAAAATGTTGTTTTCTGGCAAGCAATATATATTTTTGAAGATAAAATGGAAAAAAACACAGATATGAGTGAACAATTTTTATTGAAACCCTCAAAGATTAAAGAGGACCAAATGGTGAGTTTGGGTACCATAACAGAAAATCTCACCTAACTGTACCATCATTCACAGGAATGAACAAACCCAAACACGACAAAATTCAAATTCTCATGTAATTGCTACAAGTGAATGTAAATGAACTAATCATTTTATCATAACCTTTCTTTAATCATACGAAAAAGAAGGGAATTTACATGGCATAACAAAAGATATGCAAAACTTAATGAAAACACAATTCTCTTAATTTCTCAAACTTATTTTTATAGGATGCAGAATGCACTTGAAATGATTAAATGACTTAAGCTGATTCTTTTTTATTGCAAACTGTTTTAACATCAGCTTAACCCCCATGCATGGTATTCAAAAAGAACACAGCTTTTGAATTAGAAAGATCACTCGAGTTAAAATGAGGAATTAAGTATTGAAATTAGGAAAAGGCTGGGGTTTCTTCTGAAAGGAATCTTCAAGTACCAATATGTATAGAGAAAGAATACTAATTTTGGTTACATTTTCCCCCTTACTGTTAAATATACAAACTATAATACCTTTCAAAATAAAATACCCACGTAAGAGAACTTTAATAAGAAACATTCAAACCAGATTTTGGAAAAATCGGAAGCAAGAAATTGACTGGGCCAATAATGTCTTAATTTGTGATTATTCAAACATTTGATGATGTGTCTCCTGCTGCAGAGCCCAGGTTCTCTCCCTTTTGGTCCCTACAGTTAAGAAATAGTTAGTTGTGCTATTGAGACAATCTGTGATCATTTCATTCAGAGAAAAACCTTTTTGCCATACACTGACAGACCAAGGAGGAAGAGAAGGTAGGTGCTCTGAAGAAAACAATTACCAATTTTGAAAAGACAAAAGTGTTGTTGTTGTTGTCGTTTTTCCAAAGGAATGCTGCACCCATTTCACTTCGTATTAGAAATCCAGGTTAAAGGCACTGGGATGTACTCCTCACCTTGAATAGACTCCTCGATTACATCTGACAGCTGCGTCTGCTACTGCAATCAGCCTGCTCGCTGAGTGAGTGACACTTCTTACATAGAAACCTAATGTAAATTAAACAAGTTTGAATCCACTTATAATGTAACTAGTTTTATAAAAATATTCAGAGTTGCTAATAAAGCACCAAGAAAAAGAGAACCTCAGAGAGAGGACTCAGACCCTTTCTACACGGTCACCCCTTTACAGTTTTGTCTAATAGGACCTCCAGAGTGACAACAGTCAGCTTTGACACGTCCTATCTATATAATCTTAGGGATACAGAACATTGCTGTGGTGACTATACCCAAATGCCAATTTCAGTATAAATAGTTAAGAGACGTGTTACGAGATTTCATGGCTTACTCTTAAAAAGGTAAAATAGGTGCAATTTTCCTTTAAGAAAGTCTTTTATTCTGTGACATACCACTAATATTTTGATGTTCCCTTCAGTAAACACTGATATAACTACACTGGGACTACGAAAGAACTGTGAAGTAGCTACGATTATCTACAAATACTGCATTTTTTTCACTTGAATACAGTATTTGTACCTTTAAGAAAACATTGTACAAAAAAATTATATAAATGAAAGCCTCAAAGAAATATCTGTCACTAAATTTTTGAACTGAAGTGACCAAAGACCACTGTAAATGAACACATTTCTAAACATGATGTAAACATAAATGGAGTAATGCAAAACATCAAGGTATTCAAATCTACTATATTGCTATTTTCACCCTTAATGTATCTTTCTACATAGTTTCCTCCTTTTGGAACAGTAATATAAGGGGCAGTACATTATCTTCATAACCTTATGCCATCAAATCAGTTAATACAGATGCTTGACACGTTTAATTATACAAAATCAATTTGTTTCAAGTTACAAAATTAATGTTGATATGTAATTAATGAAAAAAATAAGATGTTAAAAAGATAACTATAAGAATACCCAGATATATGCTGTATTCCCATTTATATAGATCTGATCAATAAAACATCAACACATTCACTTAGATACTGATTTAATCCATGGATCAAGGCCATATTTTCAAAGTATTTTAAGGATGCCAGGACACTGCAAAAGCTGGAGAAACGAGTTGAGGAACAGTATATGCTTGCTAAACAAGAACTATTGTTTCTTTAGCTAGTGAATACCTAGAATAATAAATTTTTACTTCATGATCGCAATCAGGCTCGCAAACACCCAGAAATAGGAATTAAGGGTTTTAAATGTAGTTATAAAGGTCATAAAAAGTCTGATTAGACTGAGGTACATTTACTCAAAATTTTGAGATTCATTAAGTGGCAGCAAACAAAATAATTCCTCAGACAAATGCACATTTTTCAGTATACACATTATTGGGGGAGGGAGGGGAGAAGAATGTGCATTAACTGGTGAAGTCCACCAAGCTGCATATCAATATTCTGTTACACCAAACGCTTTGAAGACCAGGGAAATGTTCTAATATAATTTCAGATCATGATTCATTTGGCTAAAATAGAGCTTAAGGTTGCTTTGCCATATTAAAAGTTTACTACAATAACTTTTCACATAAACATTTAGACTTGAACTCCAGGACTAAATATGGCATGATTATTTTGCTTTTAATCTGTCAAATAGCTAAAAATTGACAATTTAAAAACTACAACAAAGAAAAAGTTGAAGCAGTGTGACTCTTACATCATTGAACCACTTCTAATGGTTAACTGTTAGTATTTAACAAATTCAAAGAGTTAATGAATCCTTGCATTCATTCAGTCTTCTGTGCCTTAGCTAGGATGCATAATTACAAAAGACAGCAGATACTGGTAAAAGCTTCAGGACAGAAAGTGCTTGACGAAGTTACAGTTCTCAAGTGTGTTTGGTGAGAGTATAAGGGCAGATGCGCTGATGAAAACCATTACAAGAAGAGTCAATTCTGTGTTAGAGTTCAAAGATGTCACCTTAAGCAGAAAAAAAGCTTTAATAACGTCTTCTTTGACTTATTAGGCATTTCCAGAGTCTACATCATTAGTGTTGTAATTCTAACAGGACATCTTCATACGGTTATTGTTTGTTTCTATTTCTCTCCTGAAAGAAAAGCACAGAGAATTTTAATAAAATACTATCATTATTTAAAGACTGAAATTATTTGTACTATAATAAAAAGTTACGCAAATACTAATTTGAGTAATTAAAAAAGATTTACTACCTATGCATACTATTGAGGGAGGATTACTACAAACATTTTAAAACAAAGGATTTCAAACAAAAGACCTATATCAAGAGAGCATGACCTTCTCCACGCCCTATTTTCCCGTGAGATTTTAAGGTGAGAATATGAACATCTTTCTAGCCTTTTCACTGAGCTTTTAATGGTGAGGTATTAAGGCCTAAAAGGCCTCTGTGGCAATTTGAACTATTGGCTAGGTAGGGTTATGAGGAAAAGAGATGCATTAAAATGCACTAAAATTGGATTAAGAATTTAGTGTTAATTAAAAAATACTTTGATTCACAAACTTCCTCTATATCATATTCTCATATTCATCATATTGTACTTTTTCATATCAAGAAATCTTTTTTTTTTTTAATGTTTATTTATTTTTGAGACAGAGAAAGAGCATGAACGGGGGAGGGTCAGAGAGAGGGAAGAGACACAGAATCTGAAGCAGGCTCCAGGCTCCGAGCTGTCAGCACAGAACCTGACGTGGGGCTCGAACTCACGGACTGTGAGATCATGACCTAAGCCGAAGTCAGATGCTTAACCGACTGAGTCACCCAGGCGCCCCTAGAAATCTTAATATTTATTAATCATCATTATTAATTCCGTTAAGAAGTTGGAAATCCCTTGAACAAAAGTTAAACTGAGTTATGTTTTCATTTTGTTTACTATCCCAATATATATCTGCAGTACTTCTGTCTGTGAAATAAAGAATGACTGGCATTGTGTATGCCTGTTAAATGTATGCATCATGTAGTTTGCACCACCTTGTAACTCAGTTCTCAAATTTTAGCATTAGAATAATCTGTAAAACTTCTGGAAACAGACTACTGGGCCCCTAATGTGTGAAGCTGAACCTACGAGTTGTAGTTCTAACAGGTTCACAGGTGATCCAGACACTGCTGGTCCAGAGAACACACTTTGAAAAAGACCTGTGTTTAAACACATTATAAAACTTTTTTGTTTTCACTACTCCCATTTTATTTTCCATGAGTAATACATGCTCTATAATAAATATGAATATTCTTTGCAAATGGTCAATTAGTTTCCAATCCTGTGACACCATCAGAAAACTGTATTTTAAATTCCAAAGAGAACTCTGTAAGTTATCTGTTACTAAATTCCTTTCTTTTTAACTTTAATATATTTCTAGAACTTAAGTAACAGTATTTCATACAGAAAGCTAATAAAATAAATGCCCTCCTATATGGTAACTACAAATAAAATCATTTCATACACACATTTCCAGTGGGATACTCTAAAAGTAAATAAAACTTGGGGTGCCTGGGTGGCTCAGTCAGTTAAGCGTCCAACTTCGGCTCAGGTCATGATCTCACGAGTCGTGGGCTCGAGCTCTGCTCAGGCTCTGTACTGACAGCTCAGAGCTTGCAGCCTGCCTCTCTCTCTGCCCCTCCCCTGCTCTCTCTGTTTCTGTCTCTCAAAAATAAATAAAAATGTTAAAAATAAAGTAATTAAATAAAACAAAACGAAAGCACAGAGCTAGCTAAATCCAACAATATGAAGGAAAAAAAAGGGACAAAAAAGAGAATATAGTACCAGGAAGTGTCGTCTGATTGTATACAATCCTTAAAGCTTTTTAAAAAACATCCTAATCGGGGCACCTGGGTGGCTCAGTCGGTTAAATGTCCAACTTCAGCTCAGGTCATGATCTCACGGTCTGTGAGTTCGAGCCTCGCATTGGGCTCTGTGCTGACAGCTCAGAGCCTGGAGCCTGCTTCAGATTCTGTGTCTCCCTCTCTGCCCCTCACCTGCTTGCTTGCTTGCTTTTTCTCTCTCAAAAATAAATAAAACATTAAAAAAATAAAATAAATAAAAAACAGCCTAATCATAAAGTTCAGTTCTAAACTAAAGAAAACAAATAGATTTGTGTGAAAAATTTTGAAGCCTGCTTTAATTAGCCAGATATAAAAGCTACAGAAATTTATCAACTCCATGAAGAACCTTCAAACTACAGGAAAAAAAAAGTCACTATTTATTTTTTTATTTTTTTAAATTTTTTTTAACGTTTATTTATTTTTGAGACTGAGAGAGACAGAGCATGAACGGGGGAGGGGCAGAAAGAGAGGGAGACACAGAATCGGAAGCAGGCTCCAGGCTCTGAGCCATCAGCCCAGAGCCTGACGCAGGGCTCGAACTCACGGACCGTGAGATCGTGACCTGAGCTGAAGTCGGACGCTTAACCGACTGAGCCACCCAGGCACCCCAAAAAATCACTATTTAAGGATAAGTTAGACAAAGGGAAATTTAATTCAAGGGAGATGATCAGCTATAGCAATAAGGATCGTGTGTTATTTAAAATAGAAGTTAGAGATACTATTTCAGTTTCAACTGTAATCAACTATGCACTTTAGCTGAATCAAATTTAAAATATACAAATTACATACGTATTACAAGATAGCTATGTATGTAATGTGTAACTTCTAACTCAGTGGCCAGGAAAAGAGGAAAATAAAAAAAAAAAAAACAAACACATACATCAATACAACAGGACAGAAGGGTTGAGGGGAGAGCCTGAATGAACTAGATTTAATTAGAAAGTACAAAATAAGACAGCAGAAATATACATTTATAATCAAGCATCAAAAACTCTGTTCTTCAATGAAAATATAAATAACAGTTCAGATTTTTCAAAAATCCAGTTATATATGATTTACAAGAAAACAACCTAAAACATAAGGTCACAAAGTTAAAAGTAATGAAAAGACATATGACAACACAAACCAAATAAAGACTGATACAACGATATTAGTACCAGACAAAACTCATTTGAAGGCAAAAACCACTGTTGGGAGACAAAACGGTCACTCGATACTAAATAACAGATATTTTTAAAATAAGCTGCAATAATATTAAACTAAAAAAACAACTTTACATATATTAAAAGTTGCCAGAATTATAAAGAAAATTTGACAGGTTTCTCATTATAGCAGGAGAATTCAACACACTTCTCTAAGTAACTGGTAAAGCACATATATTAGTAAAAATACAGAGTGAATATACATGCTACAGAAAACCAAACCAATTATAGGGTACACACAGAACAACCACAGAAGGGGACTACATGCTAGACCAGAAAGCAAATCTCAATAAATACCAGGGTCTATGTCATGCACCATCACATTTTCTGACATCAGTTTTAGGAGCAAAACAGATTAACAAAAAACCTTAACCACATCTGGAAATTCTAAAACCACTCCTAAAAAAATCTCCAAAAAAATCATAATGGAAATTCAAAAATTTTTACATCAGTACAATAATGAAAATGCTTAGTCTAAGTCCCAACAAACACTTAGAAATTTACACATGTAGAACTTTAAAAAAAAAGAGAAAGTCTGAAAAGTAATGAGCTCATCATCCAACTCAATCTGTTAGGAAATGAGTAATAAGCCCCCAAAAGTAGACGGAATAAAATAGGATAGCAGCAGAAAATAATGAAACGGAAAACAAGAATAAAGAGAACCAGAGAATAAAAACTGGGTGTTTGGAGGGGGAAATCTATTAGTGTTTGGGAGAAAAAAAAACTACCAAGAGAAAAAAAATCTCTGGAAAGACTGATTTAAAAAGAAGATACATTACTAGCAAAAGACTGATACAACTAAAAAATAAAAATACCATTAATGCCAATATGAAAAAAAGGCTTAAGACAAAACAACCTCCTAAAAGTACAATTTATATACATACAATTTACCAAACTAAACTCAAGAATAAGTAGAAAACCTGAAGAGACTTGTAATAAAGGACTTTAATCAACAATTAAAAATCCACCCCCAAAAAACCCCACCAGTCTCACATGTTAAGTGTGTGTGTGTAATTACACCCCAACATTGGGCTTGAACTCACAACCCCAAGATCAAGAGCCACATGCTCTTCTGACTGAGCCAGTCAGGTGCCTCCAAGCTCACATAGTTTTAGATGTGCATTTAATTAACTGTCCCAGAACTGATAACTCTAAACTTACACCAACTATTCCAGAGACTAGAAAAAGGGGGAATATTTCCTGACATATTCTGAGGTTAGCAATACTTTGATACTAACAGTATCAGGAGAAGCATGAAAAAACTGTCTCACGAGGATCTCCTAAGGGCTGTTTTGCTGGTAATAGACTAGGGGAGCAAAGGTGAGAACAGGAAAGGCAGAAAGGCTAGCACAGTAATAATCCAGTACGATAATAGCTCTTAGGCAGGGCTGGAAGATGCAGAGCTAGTGAAGAGCTTGGATTCCAGATACGTTTTGAAAGCAGAGCTGACAAGTTACTTACTGATAGACTGATTAGACGTGAAGTGAGAAAGAGAAGTTTCACAAATGAGTCCAGCATTGTTGGCCTCAACAACTGGCAGGGCAGTGGTGCCCTATACAGAGATAGAGAAGGTTTGGGGCAGGCAAACAGCGTTATATTAAATTTAAGATGCTTATTAGACAACTGTGAGAAGATGTCAAACAGGCAACTGGATACATGGGTTTGGAGATAAGAGGAAAGGTTCAGGGTGAGTATACAAATTTGGAAGTCCTTAGCATGGAAAAAATTCCACCAACAAAACGCAGGTCTTCCTGAATATGGTCAACACCACCTCGGCTTTAAGACAACAAAACAAAACAACCACATTTACATTAACAAGATCTAGAACTGCACCTGACACTGTTAATATTAAACAAATACTTGAATATAATGAGATATCTATGGGCATGCTATCAGCTATAGACCACTAGAAAAATGAGACTAAGTGATGCTGAGCTATCAGTGATAGCTGGATAGAGGGAGAAAGGAAACCCAAATCATTCAAAGGAAGCCATGGTCCAGTACACCTACAGGACTATGTCTTTAGTGATAGTTCAGAAGAAGGCACTTAAACATATACACTCTTTAGGACACAATCCCAAAGTGACTCACAGAATTTTTATTCTTAATGATTGACAATTCAAAAAATAAGTTGTAGAGGAATGCCTTCTCCTCTCCTTTTCCATTAACAGAGCTAGGCCTCAAACAGGCAGATTCGGAGATTAGAGGGCTTTGAGTCTGGTATAGGGCTTCTTCCCCACCTTGAAGTGAGTAGACACTGGAGACCAACATATGATCCTAAGGTCAAGATCCACAAGTTGGCATGTGGAGATGAGCTCCAGGAGGAAGGTTACTTGCCAACCCATGTCTTTTTGTTAAACCATGAGTTTCACAGATGAGCTAAGACATCTCTACCTAGGAAACAGCTTGAAAACAAAATTTTCTTCAGTTTTCTGAGAGAGGCCAACAGCTTGCCTTTAACCTTAGAGATAAATGACTTACTTCCTTTTAATCACTGGTAGGTTTATCATTATAAGCAATATTTCAGTAACCAGACCTGAGGTTTAAAAAGCCACAAGGGAAAAAGTAAATGTGTATCTAAGACGCCACACCATCCAAAAAGTAAATGAGAAAAAGCACTAGGAACACAAGTAGAGTAACACAGAACTGCAAAAGGAACCAGTGAATACCTGGAAGGAAAAAAAAAGAAAAAGCAGGCAGGCAGGCACTTGAGACCCAAATGCAAAAAGACAAACACCTTTGTTTACGTTAAAAATCTAATTTTCAAACTGAATATTTCAGTAGATGAATTAAAGGGGAAAATGGTCACAGCCTCATTTAGAAAGTAGAATATTAAGTCTAAGAAATATCTCAAATTACAAATCAGAAAAAAAGAGCTGGAAATCACAAAGAAAAAAAAAATTAGAGAACTGTAGAGATCTAAGACAAAAGGAATATTCTAGAAGTAAGAAAAAGAACAAACACAAGAGCTGAATAAATAACAAAAAATTTCACAAATTCTTTAATACTCTTTCCTGCATGAGGTGGAGCTTGCTTTTCCTTCTTTAAAGTGTAGACTGCAAATGTCCATCAACTGATGAACAGATAAAGATGTCACACACACACACACACACACACACACAATGGAATATTAGTCATCAAAAAATAAAATTTTACCATTTGTAACAACATGGATGGAGCTAGAATGTACTATGGTAAGCAAAATAAGTCAAAGAAAGACAAAGATATGATTTCACTCTTATGTGGAATTTAAAAAATAAAACCGATGAACATATGGGAAGGAGGGGGAAAAGAGAAGAGCAGTAAACAAGAGACTCTTAACTATAAAGAACTAAGGGTTGATGAAGGTAGGTAGGTGGGAGATGGCTAGATGGACGATGGGCATTAAGGAGGGCACCTGTGATGAGCACTGTGTGTTGTATGTAAGTGAGGAATCACTTTAATTCTACTCCTGAAACCAATACTGCACTGTATGTTAACTAAAATTTAAATTAAAAACATAAAATAAAGTGTGGGGCTAGACATACTGACTTGCTTCTAAGAACACCATATGCAAAAGGAGAAAAGGGACATTTACATTAGAGAAACCTAGCAGATACAACCTTAACCAAGCAATCAAAATTAGTATCACAATAAGTTACATACGATCAGATGAGAAGGATGTATCACTTACGTAGTACTCTTCCCATAAACTCAGTCTAATCATGGCAAAGCATTAGGCAAACCAACATTGAAAGACACCTTATAAAACACCTGACCAGTAACGTCTTCAAAAGTGTTAAAGCCATGAAAGACATAGAAACTGTCATAGCTTAGAGAAGATTAAGGAGACATAAAAACTGAATACAAAACTGGTTTTCCAGATCTTGAATAGAAAAACTGGGAAAAGTGGGGAAATCTGGAAAAGCGTATGTTTGGATAAACATACTATGATTATGTAACATGTCAATATTAGGAGAAACTACATACAGAGAAACATCCTATATTATCTCTGTAACATTTCTGTAAATCTAAAAATTACTTCCAAATGTTTAAAAAATCAGAGTGAAAAGTTAGAAAAATACAACTCCCAAATACATTAAGTATCATATTGGTGCAGTAATATGAAATACATAGATATTCTACAGAGTACTGTTAATTTTAATGGTTTGCCCAGCTTCTCTTTTTATTGTTTACGAGAGGGTTAAATTCTGCCCCAAAGTTAAAACCAGTGAATTATCAGACTTAAATAAAAAAGAGGGACACGTTCCAAAAAAAGACAAGATTTTAGATGTACAATGACTGTAGTTAAAATATGTAATAGATTCAATTCTTCAGAAGGAAAATTAATTATTTACCAGAGTTAAAATCTACTCAGACTGGTTTACACAACTGAAAAATTTCACACTAGAGAGTAGATCAAGGGCAATAACAGATGGATAAAAGCCCCAGCTGTTCAAAAGCCTGTACATTTGTCCAGATCCATTAAAGTGTTTTAATACTGAGATAAGCTTCTGACCTGCACTGTCCCAAAAACATGATCATTTTGCAGTAAGAAAGCAAAACACAAAAAATATAAAGGAAATAGATCAATTCTGTACTGTAAAATAAAATCAAAATTAAAAAAAAAATCATCAAGGGAAAAGAGAATGATTATGCTTTGGAGGCTCTGTTCTACAAAGCCAAATCTTTGATTTTTTTAATGTTTCCATGTACGTGAGACTTAACATTCTTGATCCCCTGCATGACCACACTATAATAAAAAACTGCTTTAAGAGATTCCAGTGCCCAAGTTTGCATTTATAAAATAAAGAAATATTTCAGGTTTGAAAAAAAAGAACAGATGCAGTCTAATAATTTATAATCAATTTATCCGTACCAACCAAAGATCAAGTAATCTCAAAGTGTACTATAAAATGAAAGAGTTAGGAGTAAGTTCAAATAGTGAAAAGTGGTGGACAACAGTCATAGCATACGTTAGTTTAGGTCCAAATGAGAGTAAGAATATGATTCTAGGAAGCCTTAGAACTAACTCATGTGTTTGAACTGTGATTTAGTTTCAGCAAAATAACATCACTCACTACACTAACTTTTTTGTTTATGTGTAGTCTTATTTTGGTTTTAGAGTTTTCACTTAATTTCACATTTAAGCCACACTATATTAAAATTAAAATCACACACAAAAAAGAAGCATAAGAAAAAATAAAATGGTCTCTATTTACAGACACTGTGACTGTCAGCCAGAAAATCCTAAGGATGTTCTATTAGAACTCCTAGAACTAATAGATGAATTTACAAAGGTCAGAAGATACAAAATATTTCTATAAACCAGCAGCAAACAACTGGAAAGTAAAACTGAAATTACCAATTACATTAAAAAAAATACCAAAATTAAGTTAAATATATATATACACACACACACACACAAACACACACACACGCACACATACATACACACACACATATAAAATAAATTCTTCAAGAGACATGTAGGTCCTCAATACTGAAAAATATAAAACTGAGAGAAATTAATTATGTTTGTCCAAGCAGATTAAATTCCATAAAGAAAGGGCTATTTATCTTTAGTGGCTTACTAGTAACCCTTGGTATATATCTGCTGGAATGAATAAGGGATCCCAGTTAAGAAAAAACCATACAGGAACTAAATACATGGTGATATAGGTTGACCAGAATACAAGATGTAGATGTGTGCTAGTAGATTCCTCACACAAAATGGCTGATCTGGGGACCCAGGAACAGAGGGTCTTAAAGCCAAATAAAAGGAATCCACACACAATTCTATTTTGGAATCAGAGTTTGGTCTGTTTACAATAAAATGAAAAAAATAAAATTAGTACATTCCAGACTTTTAATTCAAAAGTGGAATTGTTAACTAGTAGCTTTTTGTTACCTTAGTTATTTTATTATATATCCTATTATCTTTCCTCCATTCCCTTTTGTTATTTCAAATGCAAAACAGAACACATCAGTATTGAATATGTAATGTCTAAGAGTTGAAATGCCTTTCTATAAGTTCAAAGTTTTCTGTCAAGAGGCAGTGAAGTGAGTTTCACTCAGAAATTAGAGTGCAATATAGCAAGTCAATTTCTAAATTAAGAAATTGCACGTACAATTTTTAAAATAAATCATTAAGTAAACTGGAAAGATAATTCAACAATTTAAGTTACTTCCTGAAACTTAAACAAGATAATTCGTATCACCTAAACACGTATGTTCATGAAGTAATAATGTATTTGCTGCTGAAGAAAAATAAGTGAAATACCCATCAAATTTAATGATGACTGTTCATACTGTAATAGGTATGAAAGAAGTATCTCCCAAAGATCTAGCATGAACCCAGTGAACTACAGATAGTTCATTTACTAAACTTCCAAGATTCTTAACCAGCACTGGAACAAAAATACAGCCACTATTAACTCTCCTATGGCGCAAGAACCTTAATCTGAGAAAAAAATAAAAACAAATCAGTACTCTAAAATGTTAATCAGAGCACGTCGTTTCCCCAACTCTGGCTTACAAAGACTATTTACCAAGTGCAAAACACAGTATTAC